CTGGGATACCACAACCCGGGATGACATCTGGGATACCACAATCCGGGATGACATCTGGGATACCACAACCCGGGATGGCACCTGGGATACCACGATCCGGGATAGCACCTGGGATATCACAACCCGGGATGGCATCTGGGATATCACAACCCGGGATGGCATCTGGGATACCACAACCTGGGATGGCACCTGGGATACCACAACCCGGGATGGCACCCAGGATACCACGATCCAGGATGGCACCTGGGATATCACGACCTGCACCACCACCGTATGGGATATCAATGCCAGGACCTGAAGCACCACAATCAATGATGCCACAAGGTAAAATTATTTAAAATTTATTTTTCTAGTTCCTGTATCTATAAATATGGTTACCTATTTGTAAATGTTTAACATATATTTCTATAGGTTTCCGTTATTTAACAAAAATTTTCTCTGCTCGAAAATTTCAAACGATTACTCGGGATAATATAAAATTGTTGACGAGGTAGATATAAAATTCTTGATTAAAGCACCCTTGAGATATTCGCGTCTTATCAGATTCCGTCAAGATTATTTTTTATGTAGAATGTCTTCGATAAAAGACTTGTTGGCACAAACCGTACTTATATTAATCAGAAATATTAAAACGTTAATTCGAATATATGAATTATCAAGAAATAATTAATACACAAGTAATAATACATCAATACAGAAGTAAATTATAAAACCTTTTTAACTAACTATAAATACCGAAGTCTAATGTCATATTCTTCGTACATTTGGATTACATATCATTTGAACAAATAGATAGAACGATCTATACTCATGATCTATATTACTGATCCATATTCATAAAATTAAATATACAATATATAAACGTTATATTATGTTTTAATTAAAGATTAACTTTAGAGTAATACTATAAAATATAATCCTTTCATAACAATCCTGTAGCTTTTTAAATACTTGCAAAGCTTCTTCACCAGGTTCAGGTAGTAACTCGACTTTGAATTTATCACTCACTAATATTATCTGGGTACATACATATAGTAAGAGAAGAGAGGTTCGTAAACGAAGCACGATACAGCCGCTGTTTGCCGAGTGACGATCAGTAAGTAGATAATAGTCGTCTTCGTTGATGGAAGCGTCACGTATGCAGGATAAGTGACATCCAGTTTCGTGTTTTCGCTCGCATCGTTCTCTTATCGCTAGTAAATACTATTTGTGATCTTGATTGATTCCTAAATCTTTCTAAAAAAAGGTACAACGTAAATCAATTAATATGGTTCATCTATAGATCGTGCGTGTCGCTACTTTAAATCAGTTAATATTATTTGTGATCAACAAAAAAAAACATATTACGTAAATACCGGTAGAGCAGTTACTTATAAGTGTTAAATATTGACCAGCTACTAATTATAAGTGTTATCAGTGATAAGCGTTTAATAAGAATCGTGAAAAAGAAACATATTCATTAGTGAAATGTTATCACAGTGATATTATAGTAAATAATTAATGACCAGAGTTGATTTATAATATCTGGTTATGGATGAATGTACAAATTTATATATAATTACAATCAGAGTTGCTATGTGACTATTGCAAGCACTTCGTATACTTACTTTTCTATTATTGTACTTCTTTGCGATTCTTTCTTTTACTTTGCGTGTAACGCGATACTTTTATTTATCGCTGCACTGTGGATCATTATGCAAAATGTAAATTAATACTTAAGTTCAATTAAAGAAGCGAAACATACATATAGAAATTCAAAATCTCAAATATTGAAATATAGCAATGAGTATTTTACTTTGAATATTTTGTATATTTTTAGAATATTACATACTTTCCATATACTTTTACATTTTTGCATATTTCATTTTCTCTGAAATGTACAAATATTTTCAATCTGTTTATCACTGACTTGCCACTTCTTTATGTCCTTCGAGCAGTTTCATCGAGCAGATAGTCACTAAGAAATAAGACTATTACAAAAATGAATAAACTATTAATGATGGAGTTAGTAATTGAAGATGTTAAAAATTAACATTTCTTTTGAACTCATTAATTCCTTACAGTTATTTCTGCCATAAACAATTTTCAATAACATGTGGTTTTGTGATTCTCGATAAAAGAAAAATTATTTTATCTAAACGAAACTTTCGAAACGATCTTTGATTCTCGTGATGGTCGAGTAGTAAAATGGCAGTTGTGTATTATGGTTGTGTGCTAAGGTGATTCATGGGTAATTTATGGTACGCAGAGGTTAAGGAATATTCTGGCTAATTTATGAAACAACGAGTCGGAAATGTGTCGTCGGATTGACAATCTGCTACCGACGAAGGGCTGGATAATTATGTTGCATAAAATTTCACTTCGTGGCGCTATAAACACCTTCAATTTTGCTGTTCCCTTCTCTAACGCGACGCTTCTATTGTAATACTTTCTCAGAGTTTTGGCATAATTAAAATTTCCAATCGCATTTATTTTACAAGACAATAAAAAGGTTATTTAAAGAACTCAGTTTATAATTGTACTTGGAAGAAACACTTTGTGCAAAAAATCACATAAAATTTGAAAAACAATCTAGGGATAAAACATGTATATAAACAGAATTATCTTAAGAAGGTAAATAATATATGGAATAATCCATGGAAGATAAAGAAATGCGGAAAAATAAATAGAGTATAGGGAAAAGATTGGGATTATTTTAAGATACTATATTAAACAGTTGGAAAAGTTTTAACTCAGGGGGAGCATTTATTGTTTTCTTTATCTAGAAAGATAACGTGAAAAAGCAAACCGTTCTAACTAAAACTATCTTAAGGAAAGTACATAAGTTTTATCATTTTGCTGAGCAGAGGAAACTTGAGAAAATAGCCGACATTAGTATATTGAGTGCTGCCAAAGTTTCGGTATTCCGTAACGCGGTTTCACGTATCGCATAAATTCGTCAAATACGTGTCCATTCATTCGAACGTTTCAAAATGCGGAAAAAATAGAAAATTATTCGAAAATAGTATACACTGACTGTATAAGTAAACAATTTTTGCTGAGACTAATAAACAATCTTAAATTATTGTTTATAATTCTAAAAAAAAATAAGAGTGGGAATTTTGTCTGTGAAATGCATTTTTTATTTATACAAACGCTTGTTAGAAAATGAGAAAGAGTTAAGGAATGATCACTAGAAAATAGTACATATTAATATTAATAGTAATATTAATAATTAATAGTAATATTAATAAGCAAGTTAGAAATGTTTATTACAATTATGAAAAGCAAAAGGTGAAGATTTTGGTTGTGGAAAAAGTGTGTGAGTGATGGAGTCGGAATATATTGAAACTTCCTGGAAGGGAAAGATACAACAGATTCGAAAACGGCTTCGTGCTTTGGTTAGAAACACGTTAAAGAGATATAGATCAAAGAAGAAGGGCTATACCAGATTCCTTACGGATGAGGAAAAGAGGTGATTCTATTACACGCTTGGACTGCTGATTTAATGGCCTGAAATTAAATTTATGGAGATCCTTCACCCGATAGAAATAAATTTGAAAATTTGATGGTTACAGATCGACTGAGACTAACGATCATTTTGTTTTTAAATTGAAGTTACAATTTAAATTAACCCTGCCACAGTCTTCGCATTTCAACGTCGCGTTCTTGTTCACGTCTAAAGGAATAGGAAATTAGTATTTTAGTCTTTATATATTTTTATAAATATCTTTTATAATCGATATTTTCTATAAATACTTTGCTTAGACATTTTTTTATAACTGTTACTTTTTATAAATATTGTTATGGAAAACTTTGTCGTAAAAGAGGAGACAAGAAATTATATAATATATCTATTTCTTGTTATAATAAATATAAATATAATATATTTGTATTCTCCTAAAAACTTAAGAATTTTTTAACGATTAAAAAAAAGGACAATTGAATCGAAAATGATTCAAACGATGTATAGTTAAATTGGATTAAATCAATTTTTTTTTAATATATTAAAAAATGGCCTATAATTAGAAGAAAACATAAAAAAAAGAGGTAACTTAAATTTTAATAAATCTTTCATTTTAGATGGTTGGTCACCGCGGAATACGACTTGTCCACCCGGCTTGGAATACCTTATAGTCCTTGATCGTCTGTACATACGGCAACAACTTGAACTATTGGAAGGTTAGTATTGTATCGTTCGAAACACAACATGCTGTATCTCTCTACTAAACAATACAAATGTCCGTTGTAACAGTTGTCAATTTGTCAATGAACTAATTAAATAATTACAGTTGTTGTTGGATGGGAGACTGAGAACAAATACTTTGTAACGAATACTAATGGCCAGCCACTGTTTTATATCATGGAAGAGTCAAATATATGCGCGCGTCTGTGCCTGGGTACTCTACGTAATTGTGTATTACACGTGGACGACACCAATCACAGGGAAGTCCTACGTATGGTTCGACCCTGCAGGTGTTCAGGTTGCTGTTGCTTTTGTTGCATGCAGGTATTTCATCCTTTGATATCAATCTGAGAATACGATTGAATACGTACAATGAGTAATCATACGGATAAATAGAATAGAAAATGTGCACTTGTATACGTATCTATATGGTGATATGATTGGCAGGCAGAATATTGTCAAATTTTGGTCAAAACAGGATACCCTGATATATTCTACATTATTTTTCTTGCCTTTGGTTCCAATAATGCAATTCAATTCCATTTCTTTTTCATTTTTTTTATTTGAGATGTTAATATTATATCTAAAATTTGATACCTGATCTTAAATAACTTTAAGTATTATAAATACTTCTCTGCAAAGCTAATCATTCTGACATATACCCTTTCGGTCGCCTACTGGAAATATACAGAATGTCCTAGTTTTTTTCCGGCCATACGTTGTCAGTATATTCTAAAGATCAGAATAAGCAAAGATTGCGATATAGCATATGTCATTGGAAGTATTATTATGATACAAAAGAGTTATAACACAAAAAGGAATACGATATACGAAATGGATGGTAACGAATGTGTGTTACTATATTTACTATAAAGTATGAATAGACAACAAATATCTACATCTACATATTTATCTTAAACTTAGTATTTAAATGTTTAGCAGGAATTCATAGTAAACAATTCTATTTTAATACTACCATATGCAATGCAGGATATATTCATTCCACATGTTTCTTTGAAATAATACACCGTGACGATATATTATACAAGCTTCGTCATGAGTTAGCCAATCAGTTAACGAAGGACACGTCTGGCAAGTGCGTTACTGTAATTTATAGCGAGCAGTAGATACGGTTTGCAAAACGTACGTCTGAATTTCTTCTCCAACATGCTGTGCACACAACGCGCAAACTTTCTTCGCACGTGCGCACCATCTGTGACGATTACCTTTGACGAAAAGTTATTCGGCACATTAGAAAAGCCGGTCACGATCGATACTCTTTGACCAGTACCGCTCGTTGAAGCCGCTTTTGGATACGTTGTTTCGGCCTCTAGTGAAGAACCTCACTCACTCGATCCCCGTAGAAGAGCTCCTGTAAATAGAACCCTTTAATACAAATACTCCACGAACGCACAGTCGTTACAGAAGAAAGTCGAACGGATAACTTCTAATACATAATAACAAATATTTTTACAGGGGTTCAAACATCTGTCACTTCATCCATTCTGATTTATAAAGAAAGATATTTTTATATTAACACATTGTACTGACAAGCAAATTTTGTATATTTTACTTTGGGAGCTGCAATAGAGTAAAATATACTAAACTGTAATATTTAATTTGTGCAAAATATTAGTATATTGTATTTGCGCATTTTTTTCTGGCAATGTTATGTAAGTCGTTCACATTATTGAAAATTTGTTAAGTCCATGAAATTTATCTTATTCCAATCGTTTAAAAAATCTGGTAACGTGCATCACTGATGACCATGCCTGCCAACGTGTTGAAACATACTAATTTTGTGATACTTTTTTATATTTTCAAAATTACTATTTGTAAATTTGAAAGAACTAATGTTTTGGATATAACGAGCATAACGTGGTTAATTGTAATACTTTATTTTTAAATTATTCCATTAGTTATCGCGAATGTTATTTTGTAGCTTTCATTTATGATTAAAAAGAAACACGTTTGAATTATGCATAGAGCAAGCACGCTATGCCGATTTCTGTGCATCTACCTTGCGCAACCTTGTAAAAGATAGAAACAGTCAGCATGCTGACCAAACCTTTTTTCACATTCTTTATACTCGTGAATTCTTTGATTCAGATTTATTAATAGCAACGTATGAATATTTAGCAAAACGATATTGGACGTATTTAAATATTAAAACTAGAATCAGATTTATTCCCTTCCTTCAATCATTCCTCATAGTTGTTTTGAATTTCGAAATTACCGCCATTCTTTTTCCTAAAAGGTTATATATTTAAATTATTTAATTAAATTTAATTTAATTTAATTTGCATTTGAATTTGAATTTATTTTCAGATGCTAGAGGTGTATTCTGGAGAAATGCTTCTCGGCTCTGTAATAGAAGATTGCCATATTTTTAGGCCTTCGTTTTCTATTCGCGATGCATCTGGGGAAACAGTTTTAAAGATTACGGGACCATACTTTAGATTTTGCGGAAACGCGACATATAAGGTAGAACATTAATTGTAGTATATATTAATTGTAATAATAGTTACAGAACATCTTTTTAAAGATCATTTAACTAGTATTTACATAACTCTTTTCTCCTTTCCCTCAGATAAAGTCTGCTGATGGGCTACATAGAGTTGGAGAAATTAAAAAGAAATGGAGTGGTTTTACTACAGAAATTTTTACAGACGCTGATAATTTCAGCCTACATTTTCCTGTGGATTTAGATGTTAAAATTAAAGCTGTTTTACTCGGTGCCTGTATTCTCATTGTAAGTTATCATATAGACAGATTTGTACATATATTAATATCAATAAATTTATCGATTTTACAAATATTTCTGTTTTAGGATTTCATGTATTTCGAAGGAAGCACCAAAAGGAACTCTATATAGAATTTGTAAAATGCTTAAAGGAATATTTACTGATCTGAAATGAATAGTTTATTGTTGCGCTCTATTATAATATAAGGTAAACAGCTTGCAATGAAGAATCACTGTTGTTGAAAGCTGTCAACTTTACCTGAACTTTCTCAGCTTAAAATTTCTCATATTTTTTATATCAAATTATTAATGAATACGTGTAATACTGTTAACAAATATGATGTACTAGTACTATTAAGCTATCAGCATCATTGCTATTTCTGTATTCAATGTTGGAACGAATTTATCGTATATTTTTATATGTGTATATATATTGCTCATCTTCCTATAAAGGGTATGTTCAGAAGTTTTCGAACAAATACGTTTTACGACTTTTATTACAAGATTTTCGCAATATTTCTAATATAACACGAACACGAATTATTAGGTTATAAGTTTTTAATTTACTTTGATGCAAATATATGTACACAGTATACAAATATTATACAGGGTATTTTTGAAATTATGATATAACCAGAAAGGAGTTGATTCCTCATGTAAAAGTAAGTTGAAAATATAGAATGAAATTTGTTCATATTTGCCTATTTCACTCAATCTGGTCAGTTGCCGTTACTTTTACTCATTTTTATGAATATCAATCGGGATTTAGTATAATTGTAACTAATATAATTACTTTTAATGACTTATTTAATTTAATAGTTTATAAATTATTGAAAATGTCTTTGTATCACAGATAGATATTATGTACTTCCTTGGCGAATTAAAGAAGCATGGACTGATGACAATATGTTAATTCCTATATCTCACATTTCATATTTTTAATTGGATAACCCCGCATTAATGAATATTCAAACTCGATTTTCTCGAAGACGGAGCTCTATACGAAAATATTTTAATTATTCATTATCATATTATTTATTATCATATTTCCGATTTAGTTCTACATAAGGAATCACCTGCTTTCTGTTTATACTACTATTTCGGAAACACTGTATATACATAAGTTTTTATAATTGCGGGTTATATATACTCTTTTTATATTTTTGTGCATTTGTATATGTAAGGGCATTAAATATTTGAACTGCCTTAATATTTATCAGACAAATGTAATTACTCATCATAAATAATGTTAATCTTTTTGATAAAAGACTTAATTCTGTTGTATGATTAAAAGATCACCTAATTGTCATTTAAAGATATCAGAAGGAATCAAGTTAAATAAAGAAGGAGAATTATTGTGTATGTTCTTTATTCGTGTTTTAAATTCACATCTTCATACATCTGATAGTGGAGCTGTTACCGCCTCAGCTGCAGCACATAGTATGCTATATTTGTCGCAGATGTTCTTGGTTTTAGTAAAAAATGAGAATGGAAAAACAATATGTGTGTAACATCCTTTCCTACACACGTTAGAAAACGGCCACCGAGATGCTGCAGATATTGCACTCGTTGCGTTTTTTTAACACATCAAGGACCGGATTCACGCGCTAAATTTAGGTTTCAAAATGGAGACTTCACACTTCTTTGTCATATCTTCCAGTTTTTTTAACGCTCGAGAATCTTCTCTTATTATTTTTCGCAGTTTTTATAGAAAGAAAGATAATAAAATTTATACGCACACTAAACTGTCGCAATGATTGAGCGTAAATTCTTCCACTTTTGGCGAAAGATGAGATAATATTAATTTTAAAACATAAAAGGTTGTTAAAGCCAATACTTTCAAAAGAGTTTTGACAGTTCTCAAAATGGCGGCAGTTCAGATGTAGAATTATATAATTAAATCCAGATATTGTAATACTCTCGACAAAACGTTTCTTGCTTTTTTTTCATCCATACAAATTCGTCTTTTATATTGATATCAAACGACGCGACTTATTTCGTCGAAAATAGGGTCAAAAAGGATCGATTTCTCGTATGGAACACCGTACAAAAATCCAGGGCGTCCTCAACGTGTTAAGCAAAAGGTCTCGAGACCCGTTTGTTGTTTTCGATCAATGTAAACGTCGTACATAACGATACATCTTGTTTTTTTTCCTCGTCATTAGACATTATTACAAATGTTGAATTATTTCCATCGCGAGACAACATGGTGCAGATACAACGATACTTCCGGTTCATAGTGGTAGAAAGAGAAAAGCAAAAGGTTCGAGGCAAAACGAAGAAAGGAATGATAGAGAAAATGAAAGAATACTGCGTGTATTTTTTCTACATGCTGGATATTACATGTCCTTAGAAAAAAAAGAAAGAAGAAAACAGGGTGAAATAAAATTAAAATACTGTTAAAGATATAATATAATGCGTATTATATAGAACTTATAATACAAGCTTTTTCTTCTCTTTTCCATTTTCTTTTTGTTCGTACGGATTGATACAAAGGAACTTGAGTCAACGTAAGAGACAATAATATAATAATAATAATAATAATAATAATAATATAACGGTAATAATATTAATTAATAATAATAATAGTAATCATATCGCGTGTGTAAAGAGGGAGGTGGAGACCGTAGAGACGTGCAAAAGTTCACCGTTCACGACAATTCTAGATATTTTTTCAAAAATTTAGGATATTTAAGATTCGATCTTTAGATTTTGACTAGGCTAGCTAGAGTTTTATAGAATCAATTTTTATCGCGAACGACGCTTACATCGTCTCCGTTTGGAACTCTAAGAACGCGCTTTATAGCTGCGTGAAGAGGATCTTAGCACATCGAGGACCAAAACCATATTATACCACCATTATTATACCACGTGACAAAAAGCGTGGATCAGAAATCCCAGAAATGCCCCATTGTCTTTTAGAAATTGTTTCTTCTTTTAGGATATCCTCCTATTATTCTTTAATTTCCTTCCTCACGTTTGAAAACGTGAACAAACTATAATACATTTTTATCTTTCTCTTCGATATACGCGTTTCTTTCAGTTTATGCGGGAAACAGTATGGAAATTTCTTAAAGATGTTTGAATTTCGTTTTCGTTTTCCGAAGGAAAGGAGATCCTCGATGTATCAAGAACGTCTAAAGGGCGAATAAAAGAGGGAAATGATCGCGTGGTTGCTTTTTTCTGGCGCGCTGTTTAAAGTTCTTTCTCGAGCTTGATCAGCTCGGCGATTCCATCGTGCATCTCCTTCACAGCCTGATACTCGGTCAGACCGAGACGTCGTTTGTTGGAAATGTCGTAGATACCACCCTCGGCCTCGGTGTGCTCTCCGCGAGTACCACGGACCTGGAGATTGAACTTTCCAGCAATTTCTTCAAGCTTCTCCCTGTTAGCGGCCAATTTAGGCAGTTTGATGTGTACAGAGGCACGGACAGTAGTACCTAAGTTGGTAGGGCAGAAGGTCAAGAAACCAAGACGGTCGTGGTGGGAGAAAGGAAGTCGTTTTTCGATCTCGTTCACGGCGCTCACCAGACGACGGTAGACCTTCAAGGAAAAGAATGTTAATTACTTAACTTGAAAGGCTATAGACTTTTTTGTTCCTACGATCATTGATATAGTCATTAGATTGCGGATATTTGTTTAATCATACTTATTTAATTATTTTTTGTACCTGTCCAAGATCACCGCCCATCTGCATGGAAATGATACGGAGATGATCTTCCTCGTTGCACCAGACCAAGAAGGTCTTGGCATCGTTGTGGTAGATACCACGGCCAGTGGGCCAGAAGCGGCAAGCATTGGCAGCTTGCAAGAAGCGATCACCCTCCTTGAACAGGAAGTGGTCGTCGATCAGTTTCTGCTGAACTTCTTTGCTCATACCAGTTAGAGGATAGAAAGTTCCCTTGAGTTCACCCTCTAAGCCAGACAGAGTGCTAGAGACTTTCTCTTCCATTTCTTTGTACTGAGCTTCAGTCAGGCAGGGGTTGAATGGATAGCCTTCCAGAGAACGGCCGCATCTTACACGGGTGGAGACGATGAACTCACCCTGGGAAGAATAAAGGATTAATCAATACTTTATATTTATTAAATTCTTGAGAGGAATGGTTATCTTAGAAGTAGCCTAGGAATCATTCTTCCACTACTACTGAACGAGTATGAATTTATTATAATTATAGTTTTATAGTTATTACCGAATAGAAATAAATTTGCAATAATATTTGCTATATTAATCTTAATCTTGTATGTTATAATAAATACTGTGCTTTTCATTGCATCTAGACTACAATCTAACTCGATACTAACAGCTGGGTCAAGGTTGCCAAGGCTATCGACGTCTCCAAAGTCTTTTGGTGGATGCTTGTCAGTCTTCTTGAAGCCACCATGGTAGTCTTCAATGATGGGATCGAAGAGGTCAGCAAAAACTGTGTAAGAATCAGCATCAGGCGCGTAGATACCGACACCAGAGTCCAGATTCTCCACACCAGACTGGATCACATCAAGGAGGGTGGATCCAAAGGAAGTCTTCTTTGTCTTCAGTTGATCGAAGACCTCTTTGGACAGATACTTCTTCAGCAGAGATTTGCTGTCAGAGCCAGCCACTTTGGAGAAGCCAGCTTCCAGTTTGTCCAAAACTGCCTGGTCAACCATATTGCTATTTTTCTTGCTATAAACAATTAAATTACACTATAAATTAATTATTAAGAACATACGATATGGAAAATAATTTTTAAAACAATTTGAACATTTTTTTAATGTTCTTGACTACTTTTAAAAATATAGCAGATTGAACCTAGAAATTTTGTTCAAATTAATCAATACAAGAACAAGACAGTAAGATAGTAAAATCACGAATGCAAAATGTAAAGTAATGCAATGGATCTACAAACAGATTTTTACACTTATAAGATAACCGTAATTTACATGAAGCAAAAGAATATCAAATAGATTAATAGGACCAGGAGAATTAGTCTTTCCTTCTTTGCTATTCGATACATTATGTTTTCCACTTCAATGATAGATTGGAAATCAATTATAGCGTAGACGGGACTTTTGTAACAAGGTCGTTTAATTTCTTATCAGTGTCTCTTATCGTGAAAAATTACGTGTTTATTTGCACGTATTATTCGTACCAGATCGTCTACGATAGTCATAGCTGTCTGCTATATTACGATATACGCGATAGTACAATGGAATATATTTCGAGATTTTAGAAAATCCGCTGTATCGATATGCATACATAGTATCTGCCTTGTATAAAAATTGGTTTAACAGTCGCATTTTTATGTACATATCATAAATATAGAAGCTTTTTGAAATTGGTGATAAGCAGCAAGATAGCCAGTGCAAATATTGAAGTTCTTAATTGCGGTGAAACAGAATTTAAGTTTGAATATTTGCGATGAAGTATACTCTTTATTTCCCTCTTTTTTATTAAATATATTTTGTTAATTGATACTTAACAAAAATTGTATTGTAATTAATACATTTGAGATATATGAATATAATATATCTAAACAATTCTATCTATTATTTCTAAAAGGTATTTGTATATTATACTATAATGAATGAGTTACAACCACTAACACATTCTTTACATTCCACTATTCATATGTGCAGATATAATAATCTCAAGCTAATTACGTCTAGTTTTTTCTTCTGGAATTAATTCAAACAAACTGTTTAAAGTAATAAACGTAACTTATCAAAACACGTTGTTTACTAATATTTAAAAATTTAATGTTAAATAATGTTATAAATTTAAAAATTGCGCTAATAAACTATAAACAATTTTTATTACAACCTAATGTTCTATAAAAATTAAATATTACGGTGTACTATTGAAATATTGACGCGTTAACGCAATGTTTTACTTCATTTTTTGTTCAAGCAATTTACATCATACAATCCTGTTCTTTTTTAACATTGCGACTACGAAAAAGATTCAATGCATTTTTCGTATCTTAATAATGATATATAAATTATTTTCATTTTCTTTATTTTTATTCTTTAGTTTTTACGTACTATGTACTATTTCACTATTCTGTCCTTAATTTGTTAATAAAAATAAATAATATAAAAATATTTATGCAACTTCTACGAATTTAATTAAACAAACGAAAAGGAGTAAGATATTAGATAAAGGTACTTTGGATATTTTGTATATTTCTGCCTATTATATATATCCTATGAATTTTTGCATATTTAAATTTCTCATAAACGCATAAAAATTCATAGTCTACATATTATCCATTCCTAAAACATCCCCCACTATTCTCATCATTTTCCTTTGAGACACCTTGTATGTTGTACATAACCCATATAACTTTTACGTAACATCACCCTCATCGTAATGCAACTTTCACAACCCTCTTGCAACTCCATGATTACAAAACAATCTCATCGACGATGACGATGCTTCAACAAATTTCCCCATACACGCTCTATATACTAATTATTGTAACCATAATTAATTACAAGTTTTCTAACTATCACGAAACATCTGACGAGTAACAATAAGAAAATATAGAAAAATATAAAAGAAACATTTATTAAAATGTCAGTCGAATCCTCAAAACATACTCAAAACTCATCAATGGTGACGATACTTCAACAAAGAATGATAGTCGGAAAGTGGCAAAGTACCCCTTCAAGCACATACAAAATTCTAGTAAGACATCATTCTATAAGTCCTAATTGTATCATAAAAAGTACAATTACTTATGGCAAAAAAATATGAATTGGAACTTTCTGATTTCAAATGATCATAACTTGGAAATGTAAAAAAAATGTAAAAGTTCAAACGCTATTTTACAAAGAAAAGTTGATACTAATATTGTTACTTAATAACAATAACACGCGACAAATTAAGGTAAAACATTACAATATAAATGTCCTATGAAACATGTGTTGTTATTATATTATAACTTACTTCGAAAACAAATGGAATGTATTGAATACGAAGAGTTATTGTTACGTTTCATCCTTATCTTCTTCGGATGATAGTTCTTCAATAAAATCATCGTTAACGACGAAGTATGCAATGTGTGATGCCTTGTTAGAATATTAGGTGCCTGAAGGGATACAAATTTGTCACTTTTTCGCCATTTTTCTTCTCCCATATAAGCTCTACGAGGTTATTTCAATCATAATAAATCACAAGTTTTCTAACTATCATAAAAAATCTAATAATTAACAATATAGCGATGTACAAACAATAAGGAAACGTACAAAAGTATGAAAGAAAAATTTGTTAGAAGTCAACCGAATATCCTTGGCGCTACTCACCAAGTTCCAAATAGTTTAATAGTTTGTCGGGAGATGGGATTAGCAAAGAGTCGAGCCAATGGTCTCACAAAGGTATCCTTTGATGCGGAGAGGGCTTTAAGGAGTTTAAACGAGCCTGACATCGAGAATTCCAATAGCAACAGCTGTCTTGTCGGATCTCATGCACTTTTCTATTGCGCTACCTCGTGAATCGAAAGGGCTCATCGTTACTCGTGTTTGTTAGGTTAGAATCGAATGAGGATAGGGCGCGTTCTCGAAACATGGCGTCGATTTTATACGTGAATATGGGAACGAATATATATACAAAACATAGTTCAAGCAGTTATAATAAAGCAGTAATACAGAGAATACCATTAGGCATTAAGTGTTTAATGATTTTTATGAATTAAAACATTGAAAACGTCCATCGTTTATGAAAAAATTGAGATAATAATATGATAAATAATGATACATCGTTAAGGAGATAAGATTGTGACATAAGAGGATATTATATTAACAAAGTGTATTTCCTTATTAACGTTATGACTGTGTTGCAAGGTGTCAGATATATTGCTCAAAATAATAAAACATTTGAAATCACGATAAAGCAACTATTTTATACTTTATCATTTTTAAAAACATAGAGTTGCTCAGATTAATTATTTTGTGCAAAATTGCAAAATGTACCTATTATACGATTAGTGACGTAGGCGTGACTCGTCGTTGGTGCACATTTTGAAACACATTTTGATACAAATAATATTTCGCTCGAACTTTTCTTCATGATAATAGTGGCAGATTATATTTGGATTAAATACAAAATTCACGTGATTCTTCATCATCAGATACTGATATAAGGGGATAATGATACTACTTGAAATAAGAAATTCATTATCAATATACTTAATGGTATTTCAACGTTTGTTTATAAGAATCTGTAAATCTCATATTACATGTATGTGTATCTATGCTCATAGAATTTTATTTGTAATCGCGATATTCTACATCTCTTAGATAATAATATGGATTAATCGCTGTACAATAATCACATTTAATCTTCAGTGATATTTTTATATAAAATAAAACAATTCTTTCGATTCTCAAATTACTCCTCTTCCGTGTCTTTATTTCACAAAACGGAGGAATTCCAACCTCGTCCAATTTCCACAATAATTACTAATAACTTCTACTTTATTTTTAAAAATGAAAGATCTCACAATCACAAGCTAAATGTTTCTCCTCTTTCAGATCATTTTCAATTATATTCGCCCATTCGAGTTCACTTTCTTATTGCCGCAAAAAATTGCATAAAAGAGAGAAAGAGAAAATAACAATAAATTAACGGAATCCTTCTGCCTTTTTATTCGAGAACAGTGGTAAGCTGTGGTGTTTTTGTTTTTACTGTAATAAAGCAAATTTCAAGGTAAATTTAAAAAAATAGCATTTGCAACACCATTATTTCCCTCTGCCTTACGATTTATAAAATTAATCGATGTAGCTCCTGTTTAACGATAATTGCAGAATTTGTATTGCTCAACCCTTGGGTTGAAATGTAAAATAGAGAAAGTTCGAGCGAGACTGCAGATATTCGGACAGATGGTGGCTTTTTAACCGAGTCGAAACACTGCTTGTGCCAACCAGCAATACGTACTCGTCCTCGACGTTCGTTTCATCCGACTCGCATATGCCCAGCGACGTGCATACGCCCATTGTCGACGATTATGCGCCGATTATGCCTCGATTATCGCCCCGGGTTATGCGTCTATTTATAAGCGACACGAACAGTTAACGGTCGATCCTCTCTTTCTCTTATGAAACCGTGCATCCGTCGACGACGACGACGACCACGAGACGATGAGAAGGAAGAACTCAGCCAGCCGCTAATCACAACGATGTCACTCGACGTCGACCAGGATTAGGATGACGCGATCCCATCGCGTCTCCAAAGCTTCGCCTCTCTGTTTTTCCCCCGCTATGTGAAAACAGATTCTCAGACACGAGATTTTTCTTCTCTTCCGTATTTCTTCTTCAAACGAGATTTTACGACACCGAGGATTTTATGGCGAATTAACCATTTTAGTGATTGAGAATTGAGTGACGATTTTTGTGCTTGAATTTTTAGTGCGACACTGCGTGTTCTCTCATATTTTCTTCAGTGGTTTCATATTTTCTTGGATTCATGTTCTTTATCGATATCGCTATAATTCCTATAGCTGTTTTTTTATCTATGCGGTAATATCGATCGATTGAAAAGCATCTGCTGGATGATGTGCGTTTTTGGTAATAAATGATAAGTGATTATTATATTTGGAAGAAGCTATCAAAAGACTTCTACAAAAGCATTTCATCGTCAGGAGTAATATGAAAGTTTGATAAATCTAGAGATTTGTATATTTTATATTGACTGTTTTGTTTAAATATATACGTGGAAGAAGGAGACGCTGTCTAATAAAAATTAACGATTGTTACCACAGTAATATAATAAACCTAGATACGATTTCAATCGATCATTAATCTTCCATCGATTTAATAAAAAAAAAAAAAAAAAATTACGAATGATAATGAATGATAAGATAAGGTGCTAAACAACAGACATTTTAACTTACGATCTTAATCAACATTTATATATATTTATAGATATTTTACAGCATTTATAGATATTTTACAAAAGTGAAGAAATCCCTTTCGTAAATTGTGTTGATCAAAACATTATACACGAAAATTTTATATTATTCCACAAGCTACCGATCTGCAATTCTGTTCTAAACAAATAATTTGAAAGATTGAAATATTGCACGTCCATTTTTTTTTAAATACACCGTGATATTAAAAAAAAAAAAAGGGAGAATTGAGAATATAAAAATGAAAATTAATTTCGGTCACTAATATGAGAAATAATTATACGTTAGTAGTTAATTTATTAAATCTTCATAAATACACAAAAGTAATTTTACTCGTATATTCTGAGATAGTTAACGGGCAGATCCACGTTGATTGAGCCTACTCAATTAATTATAATTAATAATTACATTCTTGAAACATCTTTTTTAATAGTCTGTACACATATTTATTTATACTCTCATATATGCCAGTGGAAATGACTTGCACTCTTATGTTGTCAGATAATATCTTTACCCATACGAAGTCCGATCAATTGTTGTCTTAAGTTTCCTTGTGATATTTTACGAATACGACGGACAACAGCAAACGATAAGGATCAAATAATGATCTGACAGTATTTTTTAATTTATCTCATCACGATATCTTTATTGAAATAGATTGAAATACTTATTATACCAATTAAACTTAAACTTAGTCATTACTAATTTCAATCAAAGTTTCTTACATTTATCATGTGGCTAATTAACAGAAAGAAGTGTTCCCTTGCTCTGAAAAAATTGGAGATTCTTGTCCTCGACAAGTAAATAGAATTTATAGCAAAATCTAGTACGATTTCGACATTCTAAATATTTTTTCTAAAAATTCTATTCATTCTAAAAATTTAGAAATAATATTTTCGTTAGGGCGTAACTCAGTCAAAAAATTATTTTAAATATTACACAGGAACGTTATCAAAGAATCGTTTAAATTGAAGAATAAAAAATAAAATAAAAATTAAAAAGTGGGGAAAAAGATGTTTTAAACGTTTTCCATCGAGCGCATTCTCCTTCTCATTGTAAATAGATGGAAAATTCGTTTTCACAAAATAATTAATGGAATCTATAATAAAATATATTGTTCTTTTAAATTGCTAAATATTTTATTATCATTCTGTTATTTTATAAATTAAAAAAGAATATCGTCACTAGAGCATAATTCGTAGAAAATAATACTTTAAATTCTAAACATTAACAATTCCTAAAAATATATTTTTACTGAATGAAACAGTATTCTACAAATTGCAATAAAATATTACCACAGAGCTCTTCAGTCATTCCTCGTAAATCGGAAAAAAGAGGGAGAATTAAAAATTGCAAAAAAAAAGCCTTTGAAATATTTTCCAGCGAGCATATTTCATTCGGAAAGTGTAACAACGGTAACAAGGTAGGCGAAGTGAACATAGGCCGATATATCGTGCGAAATGCAAATAAAATTTTTCAGTCGACCTGTTTCTCGTCCACGCCCCTGCGTAAGGGCAGAGGGTTAACCCTTTTGTGTGAACCAACAGGGGTAGTCCCTACCCCACTATAAACGTCGGCTACACACTCGACCAAGCTCCTTTATAAGGAACTTAAGAGAACGTCCAAACAACACATTTAATTCTAAACCAATAGAATGAAATAAAAAAAGGTAGAAAAAAAAAGTTCCTATTTAATATTTCTCTGAGAAACAACACAACGCTAATTAATAGAAATAAGTTTTTCTTATGATCCAGTATCGAGTAAATGAATAACTATACACTAATTATAGACATAGATAAATGGAAAAGCAGTTTCTAATTAATTTGACATTGGCGAATGAAACTGCTCCCTAACTCTTAGAGTCTAAGATAATAGACGCTAAAAGTTTCAGTCGAGAGGGATCTTTGACCTGTACATCAAACTTCGGAGGACATAAACTCTGTTGACGGTTCGATACTTAAAGTGTGGGAAACACGAAGGATAATGAAGTCCTGAGTAACTTGTAAGCAAGGTTTAACGATCGAGCGATGGGAACTTCGATGGTTTGCTGACGAATAACTCGAATTAAATCTGTTTTTTTTTTTTTTCATAATACCGATACTACGAGTTTTATACGTAAAGCTTGTGTTTTTACACGACAAGTGATATTTTAGTCTTATATCTTGCACTCATATTTTTTGGAGATTTTTTTTTTTAAATAATTTTCAGTTTGTCTTATGTTATTATTAAATAGGGAGAATGTATTTTGTATTTATACTTGTTACCAATTTGTTTTTAGAGATTTTTCAAACCAGCCCTGGTTCCTTTTCATCTTGCTACTGAATAGACAGATTGTATTCTGTTTTACATATTCTTTTTAGTTTCTATCTCTGCCTCTACTTCGTGTATTCATACTACTGAATAGATGCAGTATGTTTTATTTTACCAATATTTGTAGAAGTCTTTTAAAAAGATCCTGGTTATGCTTTATAACGCTATTCAATAGATAGGGTGCATTTTACTTTGACGATTCTTTTTCAAATATTTGTGACCCATTCAGTACCAAATTTTTTTTTTATAATCTGAGAAAAATTTGTTCTAAATAATTACTAAGAATAAAGTCGTATCTCTTTTATGTCTCTGTAAGACTTTGATAGAACGTATTAAAATACCATTCCTTGTATTAATAAAATTAAAAAGAAACAATAGAAATATCTCTCCCCAATAAGATCACAATTTTCCCATACATAATAACTACACACTTCTAGATGACTCACTCGAGTCTTCGATGCATCAATTACGAATTCCATGAATGTCTGATCTGACGTCCTGCTACGTCACTAGGCGGGCACCGAGCCAAGTGACGTCACCGATGAACCCCTAAACCGACTCACACACATAATACAGCATTCTCCCAAAAAACCTAAAAACCCCAAATAATCTATCTTAAAATTTTTTATCCAACAACAATACATACGCGACGGACCCTAAAAAAAATACTTATACAAATGTACACATAATCCATCATAATATACCTTTCCCACAAAAGATCAAACAAATCCTAAAAGTAATCGTTCTTACAAATTGCTCGCCGTAAATATTCAAGGAATACGTACTCGTCGTTCGACGTGGTATCCTTAGAGGTACATCCGCCCATGACGACGACGACGACGACGACAACGATGACGACGCCCCGGCGAGAGAGACAGCGAGCGAGAAACTGACAGAGAGCGGTGAACCTCGTGTGTTCACCTCTCGATAATCGAACTTCACCTCTTCACCACGTTTCTCCTTCCCCAACGTCCTGTAGGAGGATCTTCGAGACCGGAAGTTCACGGGGGGGGAACAAGAGAGGGTGTGGGTGGCGGCACACTTCCTCGACGAGGCAAGATGGACGGAAAACGAACGCGTGTTATACACGGGACACGCTATACTTGTGTATGTAGCGTGTACTTCGAAGCACTTCCGGTTGTCCTTGGCGTCGACGGGGGGTAGTCACCCCTGGCAGAGAGTCAAAGGTCCTGTGTCTTGCCGATCGTTGTCCCCCTTCACGGGATTATCCGTCGAAATATTCTTCTCGCGAATAAACTTTCTAATGATGGTTTAAAAAAGTCGAGAAGTCGATTGTCAGTCTCTTCCCCTCTTTCTTTCCAATTTTTATTTTCGTTAACATCACCGGGCAATTTAGTTAGAGAATTATAAATTGCAACTAGTAGTAAATGATTCACTGGATACTGTTATATATTATGTAAATAATAATGTTGTATATATAATTATTTATATATAAATATTACTCTTTAAATGATAGGTTATTTTAATACTTCCGTCGATTTAGATTAGTGAACACATAAATTCTCTAACTGTTCTTGAACGGTGCAGTTCCGGTCACACTGGCTGACTAGCGTAGTACGGAAGGCGCTGACAGAATCGTACACCGGCTACGGTCGATTGGAAAATTGATTATTCGCGCTGGTACGCGATCCTCGATCGTAAAGAATTCGTATTAGAGTTAGAATCGGTCGTGGGAGATAAGGAACGTTTGAGAACCGGTAAGAAGGAAAAATCGGCGAATGGGCGTCTGTTACTGGTAGCAATCGCGATCAATGCGTCTACACTCTATTATTATGTCTTTCCTGGTCGCGGGTGAAAATGAAAGCGGATTGCGTGTGTCCCGGGGAACCCTGACGGCCGTCAATCGATATCGAGTACGCAAACGTGAAGAAATTCTCGCGACTTCCGGTTGTAAAACTTCGCGATCCTTTTTAGGACGTATATCGTTCATATAACGCGCCAAAAAATATTGCAGTATAAAAATGTAATAAATAGATGGTAAAATAATAATTTACTATTATGTAAGAAGATATTGAAAAGGATTAGCCAGTGCAATCGATGTATGGTCTCTTACTCACCGTCTCGAAAGAAGGAAAGAGAACGATCAGAGAGCGCGGTTCGGCGAGAAAAATCCTCGCAAAAAGAACGCCTTCTAAAAATTAGTCACAGTCGTTAGGAATGTGCGTATATGGTCGTTGTTCCTTCGAAGGTAGATAGTATCTTTTTTATACGAGAGAAGTATCCTTTTCGCTGGTACTTTATCTCTCTGTTCGCGTGTCCTTCGAACGGTCTGTCTCCTGCGTTGTCCTGTGCGTACGTATTATATATGTGTGCGTTTTGTCGAGATGGTCGCGCGCTCGCGCTCTTCTATATAATATGTATATACACGTTAAGTGTGTGCGTTTTGTAACGTATCCAATTATCGTGTCGCGGAATAGAACGATAATACTTTGGGCGCGCGTCGAACTTGCGAAAAATTCTCGGCGTGTCGCGTGTGATGTGAACACTACAGTCTCTACGCTATCACTAAGCAGGAGGCATTTCTGCGTGCCGTGATCTCTCTCTGTCTCGCTCCCTCGCTATCTGTCTCGCTCACTACCTCCCTCTCCCTCACTAGCTACGTCCTTGTCTTTTCAGACTACTATTCTCTCTCTTTCTCTCTCCGCGACTCTCCGTCCCTTTCTTCCTTTCGTCCACACGAATCTCCGCTTGCCCTCTCTTTTTACTCCTGTCACTCTGTCATTACTTCGCTCCTTCTCTCCCCTTAAACGACTTTCCCCCTTTTCGCGAATTCACGCTCCTCCTCTCTCTCTTTTTCCCGCTTTTTCCCATCGGATCCACTTTTATTTTCCTCTTCTAAAGCCATCTCTGTTTTTTCCCGGTTCCACGGTGCTCCTCTGTCCCTTTTGTTCTCGCTCGCTGCATCTCTCGCTTCTCTTCGCTCGTGATCGTCTGTCCTTTTTGAACCTACCACTCGTGGCGCTAGTTGTCCTCGTTTCACTCGCTACGTATAGCGCTCTCTCTTGCACGCTACTCACTTCAGGGTGGGGCACACCGGCGTCCAGCACAGAAGGATACCCGGTCGATAGCACGCACCTACACCTAGACCAGCCAGCAGCCTCCCGTGTTACGTATGCGTGGAAAATCACGCATACGCGTTTAACTCATTTGTACAGACGAGAAACTATACGTGTAGACATAGAATGTGTCAGAATGGCAGTTTTCGGCCCTGCTTAAAAACGTATGACGTTCAATGTAACACCGCAATGCGTTTTAAAGTTAAGTATGTTGGTATTAATTCAGATGTATACAAACGTATTTGTAATATCTTCCTTTGTTCTTTCTTTGGAATCTAAGTTGAGCGTGTTAATTAAATCTTTTACTACTGTTAACTACTTTTAATACAAAGCAATTTTTCCAAAAGGAATGTGAATAGTAATATGGAAATCGATGTTTAAAATTAGGTAGTTTGCAATATTCCTTCTGAAAGGGTGGTAGACATGTCTCGGTTAACCCTTTTATAGGCAATGGGATTTATATACTTTTCCCACCAACTAAAGTCAAACGTGTAGGCAATATGAAAATGTATTCCCGTTATGAAAGTGTGTTACCATAGAAAACTGAAACTGTACAAATAACCACAGAGAAATTAAGATCAAATTTTATTAAATATTTGTTTTATATTAAATCTTGATTTAATAAAATATATCCAATATAGTCGATGGGAATCACACTGGCCACTTATCCCCCTATTTGCAAAGCGCCATACAAAACAAAAATGAATATAAAAATTTATAAAAATAAAAATTTGTATTTTATAAAAATGAATATTATTGCTTTACTAAAATAAATCTGTATTCGCTTTAATATGCTCTGTATCAACATTTTTGCTTTTTGAGAAAAATTTAAGTTGTGTCCACGACAGAATTACATAAATGTGTCTACATAGACAATGAATCTAGTCGATAATGTCAATCCCATTGATTTTTCTTTTACGATTTCGAGACGCGTTTCCACGATGTCTATAGCAAGCGCTACTTTCTAAATTTTTCGCGGAGATCGGGAAACGACGGAGAACCGGTGTATCGAGAAATTCTGGATCGAGCTGAGCCAGTCGAATTCAGCGAAACTTCACCCGAGAAGAAAAAAAGAGGAACGACACTCGGTCACGTTTACTCGACCAATTTGCTCTCTGCATATTAATCTTTCGTAACACTTCGATTTTCGCATGAGCACGACGTAATCGAAATTAAAGATTAACATATCGGAAAGTTACATTAATCCTAATAACTATCAGCCTGACAAAATGACGAATTTCACATTTTTATCTTTAAAGCTATTAAAATCGTGTTAAGTATTTGACAAAATTAATATTGTCCTTTAGCGAGCTAGAAATATTTGCCTATTTTTATCATACTACTTTAATTATAATACAGTTACAATAATCTATAATTCTTCTTTGTTATTTCTAAATTTATTAATATATTATCTCAAATGATTTCAAATATTCTCAATAAAAAGTGAAACTCAAATATACATCTACTATTTTATTAAAATAAATTGAAACATCAAGGTACAAAAATACAGTAGCGATCAAAGAATAATTTATAAAAAGCAATAGTACCGTTCTATACAGGCTCCTAAATGCATCATATAGAATAAACAGCGAAGAATCTCCTTGTATATTTTAAAGAGCAGACGAGACTCTATTCCCTGGAATTTAATATTCGTCTCTCGTTACATATATGAGACTCAAATTACTTTAGGCAAGTACATTATGAATGTGTGCACGTATCACGATGAACAGAGCGACGAAAACCGATAATACAGGGGAACCTAATAAATGGTTCGACGTTTACTCGGGCCAACTTAGCAGAAGCTGATGGCAGATTATGAACGCGTGAAAAACTCATGCACGCGTATTATATCGTGTTTCGTGAAATTACTTTCATGAAGTCATAAATGCCAAGGAAAGTATAACTCATTCAATTATTGACATAATTTTGGTATAAAGGCGTTTTCTAATTGTTATATATACAGGGTGCTTGGTAACTGGTGGTACAAGCGGAAAGGGGGTGATTCTACGCGAAAAAAGAAATCGAAAATATAGAATAACAATTTTTCGTTCGAGGCTTTGTTTTCGAGAAAATCAACTTTGAATTTTCGCTCGGTACGCGTGCACTTTATCGCGTCTCGTTATAACCGATCTCACTGTAGATCGTTGTTTCTATGGAAAAATGAAAAAAAAAGAAAAAATTTTATTCTACATTTTCGACTTCTTTTTTCGCGTAGAATCACCCTCCCCCCTTTCCGTTTGTACCACCAGTTACCAACCACCCTGTATATTATATAAAGTCAATTTAAACTTACTGTATAAATCTAACAGTTCTTTCCAAATTTTCTACTAGACATATGTATTTTCTGCTAAATATATTTTCCAACATTCTAAAAAAAAAAAAAAAAACTCTGAATTTCAAGGAACTTTTCTCTAAACTCATATCTATACTTTAATAGATCAACAAAATTCTAGAATTTTATCTCGATCTACTTCCCACGATCTCTATACCTATTTCCAATTAAATAATAACTCTGAAACATATCTGAATCCCCTAACACACCATCGTTCCCATTGCAGAGGCTGTTTAATCATGATCGAAGCTGACTAACAGTGAATAAAATACCGCAACGAGGGGTCGTCCGCCAAGAGTGGAGAATCGAGTCAAGGTGCATCATCTCCCATTGCGTGCCATGTCTCTGTGCGAATACGCAATTTCACAGGGCGGAGAGGGATGCGGATTACCCGCTAGTAAGTGCATGATTATCCTACGAGAGGAACACGGCCTCGTGCAATAATGGAGGTGTGAACGATCGTAAGATGTCATTTTCTTCATTCACTTGTGTAATATTATGCATGCACTGGTACCTATACGTCACAAGTGCGCGCATACATTCTACGGTGACGAGCTTGTGAATGAAAGCGGGTTAAAAAGCGCATTCACTATGAACGTGTGTACTAAATATGTACCATGAGCTTCTCTAGCGCGTATCGTGGTTACGCTGTATTGTTCGCGATCCTCGTAATTCTGTAGAGTAAATTAGTTGGTTGTTTAAAGAGAGATCATTTTTGAAGACAAATAATGTCTTGTTTGTTAAAATTAATTATTTGGTAATGTCAATCGTTGGGTAATATAAATTATATTCTTCAATGTTTTATTGATATTATAGTTTTAGTATTAGCTATAAGTAGACTGCTGACTCTCTCCTTAGTTCGAGTTTGATTAATTCTTTAATGATCTTTTTATGATGTTTTTATTTGGTAGCGTCAATCGTAGGATAATATAAATTACGTTGTTCATAGCTTCATTGGTGTTAATTACATTTGCTTATAAGTAGACTGCGGACTTTCTCTTTACTCTGACTTTGATTAATTCTCTGATGAGTCTTTCACGATTCTAAGACCAAACCTATTCTCAGAGTTTCACACCTATCGCACGCACATTCCTGCCACGTGCTGTCAAATTTCCACATGTATTCTCGGAACTGATCCTTATTCGTACGTGACAATCGAGCTTAAACAGCCGCTTGATTACCGGTTGTCTGTTCTATTATTCTAACAACAGATAAATAATAATGATGTTGAATCTATTTGAAATATGAAACTGGATGATAACATAGAAAGTCGACGCAGTCATATTAAATCACTTACAATGAGAATATTTTTGTCTATTTTTGGAAAATTTAGAGGAAACTGAATTTTACTTCAGAGGAGAAGCTTCATTAAGAAATCTTAAATTTCGTGCCTCTGAATTCCTACTTTTATGGAAAAATAGCTTGGCACATTTAACGTAACGAATAAATGTATAATCCAATACAGGCAGCGATAAGAATCTGAAAATGTTTTCAAACTTTTTGAAAGCCTAGCGTAGTAAAAAAGTTAGACCTCGATCTAAAGGACCTAATTTGCGTAAAGTTTGGGTCGATACAGAAGAATATCAATTATGAATTTACAAATACATCCAAAGATGAGTCTTAACGTAACAAATTAATATAAATATAAAACACCTAAAAAAGCACAGAAAAATGAATATAAAATTTTGTCTATTTTCTTCGTCTTTCCTCTTGAATACACCACAAAAGACATTTTACCTCAAACATGTTAAAAGTCTTCGATTAATTTTCAGTGCTTATATACTCTCAATACTGTAACATAGAAATTTCATCCCCTGAAACCTAGAACCACTGATGCAATTTAAAATACAAACTCGAATCAAACGCGATGAAAGCAAAGAGTAACGACTCGTCTTTTGGCTGCCCTTTCGAAGTTTTTTGCGCTAGCCTGAAAAGCCTGGACGAAGATGAAAGAACGACGAAGGGTGCGAACAGAAGCGCAACATGCAGCCCAGAGTAAACGTGGATACTTTGTTTTCATTGTTTCGACTTGTTGGTCGACTTGCGGCCACTTGTATCCTCGCCCTAGGCCCTGTGTAATTTTATCTTCTCTTTTTTATTTTTGTTTCTCCATCGAGGAACCCGT